CTTCAGAAGAGCTTAATCACCTTAATGAGAGCAAAAATCTCATTTCAGTGTTACTCAGCACCAAAATGCTGTAGATGAGCCTGATTGTCATATCTCCATATTTAATCAAGTAAGAGGTGATCCAAACAAAGTCAGTGTCGGGCACTTCGGACATCAGTGGTCTTCCAGCTCTCTTCTGAAAATCCAGAGACGCGCTACAGTTCTTTTTAACTGCAAATAATTTAGCTTACGGTGCAATTTAAAAGAACACTGAATGGGACACGCTTATCAAGAGCCCTCACTCTGCACAGCTCCCCCGTGACACCTGAAAGCACTTCCTTCCTCTAGTCTAATGCTTATTAGTAACAGACAGCAAAGCTCCAGTTTCAATTTGTGTTGCCTTCTTGGGATGAGCTGTCCCCGGGGTTTCCCTCCGCTGGCCTACTGCAATGGCTACACTCTGTCAAGCCTAGACGGAGTCAGCGAGTCATCCTGTCCAAAGGATTTAACAGACTTCCAGCAGTATTCTCCCACCAGCTACATAGATGGGTCAGCAGATAAAGCGTGATATCCACAGACTTCTTTCTGGGAAAGGTTGAAATACTGCAAGTTTCAGGATGGCTCATTCACAATGCCAGCTGTCACTTGCCTAGCACTTTGATCCAAAACATAATTCTACAGGTGTGGCTGTTTCATTTAGCTTTCTGTTAGCTCACTCGCCTGAATGTCTGAAACAATCCCAAACATGGTACTCTGCTGACCAAGAGTAGCTGCTTCTTGGCAATACAAAGAGTTCAGATCAAATAAAACATCAATCAAAAATTATTAACGGCTTCTTATTTCTAATGAATCAAGGGACTCTTTACAAATACTTATTATAATGAATAAACTAAAATTGAATGTGCATAAGTGGCAGGATTTTTTTCAGAGCAAAAAGTGCAGCAAAACATGTTGGTATCTATACCGTAAGACTGATGGAAGTTTTGTATTAGAATATAACTGAATGTGTAGTTGCAGACAATATATGGCTTTCATTTGAAAGAGAGAAGAGCAGCAGCTGGCTCCCCGCTCCAATCCTTAAAATCAGATTAGACACCTCAGTCCATTCTGACGCCTTACTTCTCTTTCCTGCCCTTTGCTAGATCTGCAGAAAGTTTAAGAGAAAAAAAAATCACTGGGAAATATTGTAAAACTGCAGATATAAATTCTGTCTTGGGCAGAAGCTGCTCACTTCCATGTGCAACCTTGGTAGGGTCCCATCAGTGGGGGAGAGGGAGGGGAGGGGAAGTGTGTTAAAATCTTTTTTTTAATTCAAACCAGATACGTTGCTTCAGACTGGAGCTAACTTTCCTATTTTACATATTTGCACGACGAAGTTTGAATGACAAAATAGTCTCGCTCCACGACGGACACACATGCAGCTTGGTAGCTGGTAATCGCTAGCCTTCCCAGAGAAATGTCGTAATGCAGCACCAACCTTGTCAAAACAGCACATAAAGGCTTACGTGATGCACAAGTGAATTCTCATTTCTCTAGCATGGCCAACATGTACAAGCCACCACCCAGCACACATCCGATTCAGGACAACGACGCAAGTCTCTCGATTCCTGCAGACTGATCTTGTTCAGGCTACAAATCACTTCTGATTGCAGAAGTCATACCCCCCCAGTATCACAAGAACTTCAGGATTTAGGGTAACTAAGTGCTTTAAAACAACCTGAAAGGTGACCTAGAAAAGGCGAAAAACACTGCTGCATTGCACCCTTGTTTATTTTTCTGTTTAAAGAGGTCTAAAAGCTTGAAGGCCTTTTGAAATATTTCTTGCTTTTTAAACTTAGAAATATCAGGATCACTGGTTCCTACCTTGTTCTCATTGGAGGCTTAGAGAATTGGAGTGGGAGCTGCCTTCACCCTGGACAGGAGGGCAGGCATCTAGCTTTAAAGAGATGTCAAACCAAAGTGCTAGTCTTGGGTTTGAACTCTGGTTGCTCCACAACCTTTTAGTTTCCCTTTAGTCCAGATGCTATGCTTCTAGTTCTCCAGCCATCCAGAATCTTTCAGGAAAAATGAGCCCTGAAACTACTCATGCACACAATATTCTGAAGACCCTTCAGGGCCTTATGACACAGAAAAAAAGCCCCCAGTTTCTCTTATTAGCAGGTGACGTGTGGGTTGCACATAACAGCCAAAAGCCTGAGACCCCACCCCTTAACTAGGTTATGCCTAGTATAGTTAACCTGATACAAATCTCTATTAAAGATGCACCACATTAGAGTAAAGCCTTATTCATGCCTGGACTAAGTCATGCTGGTGCAAGCCCATTTTGCCATGCTGCAGCAGTTCTGCAGTATGGGTTTGCACAAAGGCAGGTACATCAGTTCTAGGCTATTTTGGATCAATTTGTTCTGGATATAAACCAAACTGAGAGGCATAGCGAAGGTAGGAAAAAAGGTGCTATCCTTCCACGTGCCGAGTAGCACCCCGCTATGCATTCAGAAGTATGGTGGACGGCCCAACTCATCTTGCATCCCATCTCCTCCAGAAGCCATCACCAGATGCTTCACTAGAAGGTGCAAACCACATTGAACCCAGTTAGGTACCACATGCCTAGTGGAGAAGTTTTTCCAAGTTCTGGCAGCTGGTGGCTGGCTTATATCCTGAACCCAGAGAACTGATTAGTCAGAAGCGTTTATTCTCCCGCACCAAGCGATAGCTAACATTACCATGTACTCATCCTTAGACAGCTTTCAGACTCAGCCTTTGGGGAGACAGTTCCACGGGTTAGTTATACTTTTAAGTACCGTGGACTCTATTTAAAATGCATAACCGAGGGATTAATAATAATAAAAAAAACAACAGTTTCTGCACTTACCTGAACTCATTGCACGCCATGCTCATTAACTGCAGCAGCAGCCTACCCTAAGCTTCTTAGATCTCATTAAGGTCCTGTACTTTGTCTCTCAGAATGCCTTTTGCCTCTAATAGCAGCCTCAAAATTGACAAGACCCAGTCAGTGCAGGGCTTCCTCAGAAGCCTCAAAACTGACAGCTCCTGGTCCAAGTTTCACCAAGTATGCACTTAAACAGAGTACAACAGAAGCACAGTTAGGTTACAGGGTAGGCACTGGGGCCTAAGAGTGCCTGTACACTTAACCCAAATGAAGATAAGCGGCATGCAAGAAGTGTATTGCTCATATTCCAGCTGGTGTCTGCTTCCTCTTAGGAGACAGTAAACAAGAGGAGACTGGTTTTTACCTATTATTTTACAGTTCTTGTCACCACTTACTGTCCTCGAAAAGTAAGTAGCTCAAATCTTTCTAAACGTCCCTCTCATGGGTGTTTTTTCTATGCGTCTCGGCTATTTTGGTTTCCTCCAGCGGACTTATTTTCGCCTCTGTCCTGAGCATACCATAAGTTGTGCTCTTTGGTGGATACTTCATTAGCCAGCTCATCGTCTGATCACAGAAACATCCTGTGATACAACACAGGCTGCATGAAAGGTCCTGTTACAAACTTCAGAGCCTAAGAAGTACAGACAATAAGCAGACCAAAAGGTTGTGAATACAAGGGGCAGCCTCGTCCAAGGATCCTGCTCGAGAAGGGCGCTGAACTACCTGCTGTTGTTACAAATGCAACTCCTTCATCCCTGGCAATTTACATTTCTTCACTCAAGTGCTTAATTACCCATGTTTAAGTGTTGTATTAATATAAAGTTTCACATTTAATGTAAAACTCATCTGCACATCTACCTTCTAGCCTACTTTCCCTTCTAACGCACACGTTCTGGTTCAGTTTGCATTTCACTTTTATCTGGCGCTAGCAATATCGAGTTTTTGGTTTACGGCTGGGGTTTGCAAGGCACAAATCCGGTGCGCAGGTTCTCAAGCACAGGCCGGATTTTGCACGGCAGTCAGGTCTCAGGTACTCCCCACGTCTGGAGCTTGCTAAAAACTGGACTGGAAAATAAGCTTGGGTTTGCCAGACTTGTTGACTCGGTGGACGTGAAGACAAAGTGCACAAACAAACGAAGCGACTGCCTCCAAGTAAACAGGCAGCCTCAAGGTGCCTAGGCTGCAAGGACGGGAACCCAGTGCATAATGCTGGGAGCCGGGGCCGGAAAAGAGGAGACTCTCACATCAGGAAAGACTTTTCTAAAATGATTTTTCCAAACGAGTTTGAACAGAAACGGAGTGCAGCATTTCCTGCAGTGCAGACATGCAAGGAAAATGTTGATACAAGCCTCATATAAGCTAGGTTTCCTCCACCGCGAGTTTAACGGAGACCAGCTGCCTGTGCAAGGGGGCCATTTGGGGAGCGAAGGACTCCAGGACACACAAGGACAACAGTCACCCACTAGCTTAGGGCGGGCTGGAAATCGGAGCGTCTTCCCATCAGGAAGAGCTGCTCAGCCGAGCGCGCCGCCCGGTTTCTTTTGTGCGGGCCCCAGCGCTGCTAAACCAAGCGGGGCCGCAACCAACTTGTGCCGTGCTCAGGTGGGAGGTCCCTTCGCCCTTACTAAAAAGTTCTGTTCCTCTCCTCCCTCCTCGACCCACCCAACGAGCCCGGCCCCACTTCACCCAGGCGCCCGCCTCTCCCTGCACGACCAACCCGCGCCCCACATCCACCTCCCCATGGAAAAGAGGAAACAAAAAAACCAAAAACACCCAATTAAGTAAGTGTTTAGATGCAAAACTCTGCCACCGCAGAAAACCAACCGCGAACCTGCCCCTGCCCCTCGCTCGGGGGGGCAGGGACCCCCGCGCCCCCAGCGGAGCGACAGGTCCCTCCAGCCACGGGGCACAGCCACGGCCCGGGCCAGGGCGGGGGTGCCACCCAGTGCTGCCCCAGCAGAAATAAAGACCCCCCCCAAAAAACCCCCAAGCTGTGGGGCTCCTGCTGCCCCAGGGGCTGGGGCTGCGCCGGCTGCAGGGGCACCCGCAGGGCCGGCAGGGGGCGCCCCTCAGGAGCCCCGGGGTCACTCCGGGGGGGGGGCAGGAGCCGTTGGGGCCGGCGGGGGCTGACCTCGCTGCGCGTGATGCGGTGCCGCGCCAGCTTGACCACGGCGAAGTTGCCCTTGCCCAGCGTGCCCTCGATGTCGTAGAAGCCGACGCGCACGGGCCCGGGCCCGCGGGGCAGCAGCGCGGGGGGCCGCCGGGGCTCGGCCATCACCAT